GTCAAGTGGGCTGCTTTGTATTGGATGGTGCCAAACTTGTTGAGTATTCTTTCAGGTACAGTCATCCGGACAAGTGGAGAGTATTCCATCACACTCCTAACTTGTTTCTTTTAGATGATCAACGGACATTGGTGAGTTTGAACTGAGTTACTTGCTGCAGTATTCCCAGCCTCTGACTGGCTCTTATAGCTATGGTATATATCAGTATCAGTTCTGGTCAATTGTAATCCTAAAAATATTGATAGTCATGGATTCAGTGGTGGTAGTGCCATTGAATGTTATGGAGAGATGACATTCCTTTTTGTTGGAGATGGTTGCTAGTACCACTGAATGACAAGAAAAAGAGAGGAACAGGCAAGGTGAGGACCCTATGACAGGCAGTTAGCATCTTTGAATGAAGCAGGCCAGATGTGCATCCTGTGAAAGTCAGTCAGCATCTGTGAGAGTAATGGGTGAGATGAGGACCTTTGCGGAGAAGTAGTCAAATCAGTGGTGGACTGAATGGGACTCAGGATGTAAACAAGAATAAGATTTTTCTAGATTATAGATAAATAGGGCAAGGATAAAATAAAAGCAAAGGGCCTATCTTCTGTTTAGTTAAGGCATGGAGAGGTTAAGCCTGTGATTTGCTCAGTGAATTCATGAGGCAGAGAGGTTCATGGAAAGTGTGTTTCAAGATATGGGCGCCCTGTAGCTTAAGAAAGTGCAGATGGTGAGGAAATGGGTGACAGCCAAGCAGAAGAAGGGGACCAGGCAGATTACAAGGAAATGCCCCAAGTATATCTCACTTGCAAACTGTTTGTCGGCCTTGGAAAATGGTGAGAGCGATGGTTCCCCTGTCAAGGTCAGCCAGAGCCAAGGCATCCGGGTGCCAGGGTCAGGGATGTCATGGAATTATGTATGAGAAAAGAGAAAATAGGTCCCATGAGCAGACTCTACAGTGTTTTCGGTAGGAAATTGAAAGCAGGACTTAAAAGGTAATAATCTCCGGATTACTCCCAGCGTCATACAGTACTGATTATAGGAATAGAAGGATGGAGCGAATGAATGCATGGCTGGACAGATGGCGCAGGAGGGAGGGCACTAGACTCTTGAGGCATATGTACCATTTCCAGAGGAGGTGGGGCCTGTAAAGGTTGCTTGGGATTAATTCTGATCAGGAACAAAACCAATATCCTCACAGGGAAGTACACTAATGCTGTTGTGGTGGCTACAAGTGAGATTGGAACAGAATGGGAAGCTGACATGTAGGTTGGAGGGGAGAGAACCTGAGATTAAATTAGAAGTTAAAATGAAAGCAAGTCCAGAATACAGTTGTAAAGCTGCCGCTTTCATCGAGCTGCTCTTGCCAATAACTATCTTTCGCAAATAGGGCGGTGAATGTTTTTCCCTTTGCATGTTGTGGCAAATTTCCTTCGATGATTGGTATGGAGTAGTAAGATCTCTTCAGACGATTATTTGCAACTTTTGGATCGATATGCACTCTCAGCTTTCCACGTTTTTTCACTGCTACAATGCTGCCAATCCATTATGTAGGAGTTATCACTTGATTTCTTCCCTCCTTTCCAGCTCTTCAGGCTGGTCTTGAGGGCTGCTAGAATTTTCTTCACCATATATCACTTATTGACCTGACTGAACCAATTGTGTATAGAGCAATTTGTCAGAATCTATGACAAATATTTTTCAGTGACCATCTGTACCTTTTTGTTGTGCGTCCTTCTCGATTAGTACTTGTGTACAAAATGATTCAGCTTCTTGCACTGCCTTCCTCACATTGGACATGCTTTCTTTTCCTTTGTGAGATGACTACCACAGTCTTGCCCTTGGTGACCTTTGTGCCTTACAACCTGGAATGTCGATCAGCATACTGCAATAGCTGTTCTGTCCTGCCACAAATATTTTCTAACTATTAATGTACAATCTCAGCTCTTCTGCACATCTCCATTGTTTTTCTGAGAATACGTTTCTCCACCCTCAGTAGATGTGTTCTCATTGTAGGATTTCAGATATGTAATACAATCTCTCTTTAAATAGATCATTATTTAGTTGTGCAAATTCACAGGATTCATTCTGCTGTGTTAATGGAGTCCCATGTTTATCAGTGAGCTGTTTTTCACTTGGGTCTTTGAATATTGAATCCATTCTGTTCATAAGTATATTAACTTGAGGTTCAAAGCATGCCATCGAGACTTTAAAATTTTTTGCTGTCTTCTGTTTTCTTTGAAGCGATTTAAGGTGGAACACGCTTTATAACAGTCTTTCCTCAGCAGTGATAGATTGTAGCTACTTGCAGTTGCTTGGGTTTGTTAGTTATATCTTGTGCAATTTCATACTTTTGCCAATGTGAGTGATAAAATGCCAGTTTTACTTAATGTCCCTTCTCATTTACCCTCACGTTGGAAAAGCAAAATTTGCAGCATTGTGTCTTACTCAGCTGTAGCCCATTTCTTTGTTCTTTTTCTATAGTGTTCTGGCCCTCTCAGCAATCTGCAGCAACTCAGATCCCTGTGTTCCGTTTTTAGTAGATGTGCTTCTATACAGATCTTCGACACTTGAACTCAGCTCCACTCTGACACCATGTTATAAGCTCATAGGATGACAGTTCTGCTTTTACTATGTCTTTATTGAACTAGCTATAAAATGGAGCCTGCAGTGAGCACCTCGTGTTAGATGTCACAAGGCTACAGCAAGCCAGGAAGCACACTCATACAATATTGCATTTCTATTTGAAACACTGTGAATCACTAAATTGGCTTAAATGAGAAAACACACCCTTCTTCACAAGACAGATGATGTATTTTTATACAGTTAAGATCCCTACTTTAAGGAAAACCATCCTAACAGTATAGGTCCAAGCCTGTCTAAAATATACTAATAGATCTCATTGTTTATTGTTCTGCGTCAGAAACACAATTTATTAGGCCTCTTTAGTCCATTAACTGAGAGTAAACAATCAACATTCCCAGATAGAATGCATGTTGGGTCAAATCATGAATCAATTTTACCTTGGGGAGCAATGTTAAAATATAAATTATCCTAAACTAAACCAAAATCCTTTCAAACCCATGTAGGCAAAAGTCTCATATATAACTGTTTTGAGCCAATTGACAAATTATGATTGGTCACAGTATTGTGAATAATTTTATAAGAAAAGTCTGAGAGAAAATTTTAGTGGAATTAATTCCTACATAGCAGAAACAACATTTTAGCGCATAACTAGATCTCTTATGGCATTGAGCATGCTGAACCAAGAGTATTTTCAGGTTTATAGCAATAAAAGTATTTACATCAGATAGCAGGCAAGATTAGGTTCACTAATTTATGACGGAGGACTGTAGATCATTTTTTAACTTTATAATTAAGTATTTCAAAACTATTTGGGATATATCTGTATTATCATTCCTTCCTGTGTGCATTACTTTTTTGTTTTCTAATCAGCCTGTTCAGAGATGTTGTCAAACATTTCTGGAGCAGATGGGACTTGAACTCAGACGTTCTGCTTCAAAGATAATGACACTGTCAAAGTGCCACAAGAGTCCTGTAAACACATCTGTTCGAACCCATGGAAAAATAGCACAATTTGGGAAACATTTTTGCCCTAGCCATGGACAGAATAGATCTAGGAGTCAATTAATGCAGTGCAAACCCTTGATGGTCTCCTGATTACTTGACTGTGCTCACATGTGTACTTTAGTAAGCTGGTTGTTGAATTTATTAGCTACCTCCTTCCAAGACATTGTTGTCCCTAGTTTAGTATTATTAGCAAAACTAAGTAATTCACTTTGACTTTGAGAATTCTAATCATTGATGTAAATTTGGATCAGTAAGGATGGCAACACTGAACTTTACAGTATCTAACCAGTGATCTTCTGACAAGTAAAAACCAAAAGAACTGCGGATGCTGTAAATCAGGAACAAAAACAAAGTTGCTGGAAAAGCTCAGCAGGTCTGGCAGCATCTGTGAAGGAGAAAACAAAGTTAACGTTTCGGGTCCGGTGACCTTTCCTCAGAACTGAGCTTTTCCAGCAACTTTGTTTTTGATCTTCTGACAAGTATTGGTTGTTTCCTATTCTTCGACTAATTTCTTGTCCCTTCTAAACTTTTTGCACAATCCCCGCAAATTGGAGTTTAACCGAATCCCCTTCATATAGAATTTTGTGAAATCTCTTATGAAAAGTAAATGCAACTTCACTGTAGGGTTTTCAATGATCCATTTAGAAGTCAAGAAATTTTTTTTCGCATTTCTGAACCCATGTTATCTCGTATTTGAAACGTTGTATAGATCTTAACTGAATTTACATCTACTCATTGATTTTTTTGCAGAGAATTAAATCAATATTAATTGATTTGTAATTTTATTGTACACTTTGAAAACACGCTGAATAGCTATTGCTACTGTTCATCTTGTAAGGAAAGATATTTGGAATGGTTGGGTCTATATTCTTTGGAGTTGAGAAAAACGAGAGATGGTCTTATTGCAATATGTAAGATCTCGAAGGCAGTCTGACAGATTGGGTGCTGAAAGGATGTTTCCCTTATGGGAGAGGCCATAACAAAGAACACAGTTTAAACATAAGGGGTGTCTCACTTAAGACAAAGATGAGGAATTCTTTTTTTCTCTGAGGGCATCATGTCTGTCTGGAACTCACTTTCCCAGAGAGCAGCGTGGCAGGATCATTTAATATTTTTAAGGCCGAGGTAGTTAGATGCGACCATCAAGGTAGGCAAAGGACATTGGGGGGGTAGACAGGAAAGAGAAGTTGAGGCCACAATCAGATCATCAAATGGCAGAGCAGGCTTCAGGGGCCAAATGACCGAGTTCTGCTTCTAATTCAGTCTGTTCATATCTCATTAGCAATTCAAAATCTAACGGTGTGTGTTATTTAATATAATTAAAATGGCCAATAATTAAATGGAGCAGCTATGTTTCCTTAAACAGTAGCTATCATTAGATTTCTTCACAAAAATTTAATGCTTTTGTTGTTCTATTGTTTTCATAGTTCTTGAAGGCAGTAATGGATCGAGATTACAAGTTGTCAAGTAAGCTTTGTCAAATGAGTAAGTACAAAAATTGCTTATGAATATTTTTCAATTCACAATTTTTGATTGTTTTCTTCATGGAATGAGTTACACGTTTTAAATTCTGTTTTGGCATATTTAAACAATGTTAGATATCATCTGTTTGGATAAATTTAAAAGAAAAGGCCACATATTGCATGAACTGAAATTGTGAATTGAGGGAAGATTTTTGTAAATACACAAATGATATAATGGCCAGGATTTTATGACTCCTCTTGCTCTCACCAACCCCTTCACAGACCCTCACTGAATATTTTGACTGGGCTGCAGTGCAGGCAACGGGAGCTATAACATGGATAAAATAAAGCACCGTGACATTGGCATAGTGCTGGTGACTGCTGTCAACCACTCGTTATGACTTTATTGATGGTACAGAAGGCTTGAGTTGCCCTCTTACCTGTGGGGCCATTGAGGCTCTTAAGTGGCCAATTTTTGGCAACTTAAAGGCCTCCTCTTGATTCTACCCTAGGATTTTACCCACATCAGGAAGGGCAGTGCCAAGTGATCTGCCTGCCTGGTAGACATTCAAGGGATGAAGTGCTTCCATTTCCAGCTTCTTGTCACAATCAGAGGCACCACACAAAGGTAATCACCATCTTAACTCTTCCTTCAGCCTTTTCTATCTATTCCCACCATTCCTGTTAGCCTAGCTTGTCAGCCTGACCTGGGCTGGACCCTTGAGCATCTGTAATCCTGGCTCCACCATGATGTGCCTTCCTAATGGACTGTTGTATTCCCAGCAGTGGCCAACACTTCTTGTGGCTTTGCTAGGACAAGAGATCTGCTGGCCATTTGATTAGCTGGCAGCTTTCAGAGGTGGAAAACCTGCCTAAGGCCAGTTATTGGACTGATGGCTGTAAATACCTGCATGGTGAGCTGGCCAAGTAATGTGGGCCCATCCCCAATTTGTACAAAGGGCGGACACTATGGAAACAGGTAGTTCTACAGTTGTCTTCACTGGGAGCTGATTTACAGGTCCTCTGAATCTTTTGTAATTATGCCTGACTTGTAATAAACTGTTCTGAACGCTAAATCAGCTTGCTAAGCATTGTAGTTGCCACTACTGTAAAGACTTAACATATCCTGTATTGCTGATTATTAGATATGATTAAAGACAAAGGATTTGGTGGCAGTGAACTACCTCAACCAGCACTTAACTCGTGTCATGATTTAGTCAAGCCCATGTGCAGGACGTGTCAGTAGCTGCCCAAGTTTGAGATCTAAGTTTGAGTTTAAGTAGTGGTTAGAGTCACTGATGTGCAGCTGCGAAGCAAAGAAGAATGTAGGTAATACGTTCAGACAGGTAGTCACACCATAGCTTAGAGGCAAACATGGAGATAACAAATGGTTGGCCATCAGGCAGTCCAAGGGAAACAGGTAAGTACTGCAGAAGTCTGCAATGGTCCTGCTCACTACCTGGTTCCAGATACCAGTGAGGGGCAACAGATCTGTGAAGGTGTGCATTAAGTGCCCAAGCCTGTGGTACCATCAGTGGCCCAGCTGTACAGCAGGTGAGGAAGACAAGTGAAAGAGCAAACATTATCAGTAGCCTCATGGAAAATGCAGGTTAATTTAGAAGAATCAGAATGGATATGTTAAGGGAAAATTGTGCCTAGCTTGCTGGAGTTTTTTGAACAAATAACAGAGAAGCTCGATGAGGGGAAAGTTGTTGATGTGGTGTACGTGAACTTCCAAAAGGCGTTTGACACAATGCCACAAAACACCTTTGTGAGGTAAGCTAATGGTCATGGAACAAAAGCAACTTAGATCTAAAATTGGTTGAGGGATAGGAAACAGACAATAATTGTCAATTGGGTGTTTTTCAGGCTGAAGGAAGGTTTGTATTGGAGTTCCCCAAGTATCAGTGTTGCTTTGTTAAATTAATTTGGGGGACTCTGCCCTTCGTTGAATGGGCTGGCATTTATTACCTATGTCTAATTGCCTTGGAAAAGGTGTTGGTGAGCTTCCCTCTTAAGATACTGAATTCCATTTGTTTAGGTATACATACAAAGCTATTTTGGAGGCAGTTCCAAGATTTTCACTTCGCAATACTGAAGGAACAACAATATATTTCCCAGTCAGCATACTGATTAATTTACAGAAGAACTTGTGGGTGGTTGCTTTCCCAGGTATCTACTACCTTTGTCCTTCTAGATAGTTGTGGTCATTGGTTTGGAAATGCTGCCTTAGGAATCTTTGTGAATTTCTGCAGTGCATCTTGTAGATGGTGCACCTTGCTGCCACTGTGTGTCAGTAGTAGAGCGAGTGAATATTTGTCCTGAATGATTGCATACTTCATGAGTTTTGTCAGAGCTGTTTTCATCCAGGCAAAGGGGGAATATTCCACCATACTCCTGACTTGTGCTTTGTTAGATGGTGAACTGGCTTGATGGTGTCAGGAAGTGAATTACTTGCTGCAAAATTCCTAGCTCTTGTAGTCTCAGTATTTTAAAAAACTAGTCCAGTTCAGTTTCTATTCAATGGTAACCCCTATGGTGGTGGAAAATTCAGCAATGATAATGCCATTTAATGTCAAGGGACAATAGATAGATCATCACATGTTGAAGATGGTCATTGCTGAATACCTGCGTAGTATTTCCCAATTTTCATTCCAAGTCTGGATATTGACTAGGTCTTGCTGTATTTAGACATGGAATGGAGGGAAGGTCATTGATGATAGTTGGACCTAGGGAACTATCCTGAGGAACTTCTGCAGTGATGCCCTGGAGTTGAGATGACTGAGCTCCAATAATCACAAACATATTCCTTTGTGCGAGGTTTTCCCCTGATTTCCATTGACACTAGTATTGCTAGGGCTTCTTGATGCCACAGTTGGTCAAATGTTGCCTCTATGTTAAGGGCTGTCATTTTAATCTTACCTCTTTTGTCCATTTTTTGAATCAAGGCTATAATGAGATCAGGAGCTGATTGGCTCTGGCGAAACCAAAATTCTGTCATTGAGCTGGTTATTGGTAAGAAAGTGCTGTTGTTGTTTCTCTCCATCTTTTTAGTGATGTTTGTTGGTAGACTTTTTTGTGGGATGTGGGCATTGCTGAATGGCCAGCATTTACTGCACATCCCTAGTTGCCCTCGAGAAGATGGTTGTAGCTGCCTTCTTGAACTGCTGCAGTCCACCTGCTCTGCATTGACCCACAATGCCATTAGGATGGGAATTCCAGGATTTGACCCCAGATATATTTCCAAGTCAGAATGATGAGTAGCTTGGAGGGGAAATTGAAGTTGGTGGTGTTCCCATATATTTGTTGCCCTTGTCCTTCTAGATGGAAGTGGTCATGTGTTTGGAAAGTGCTGTCTGAGGATCTTTGGTGAATTTCTTCAGTGCATCTTCTAGATAGTACACACTGCTGCTACTGAGCGTTGGTGGTGGAGGGAGTGGATGCTTGTGGATGCAGCGCCAATCAAGCAGGCTGCATTGTCCTGGATGGTGTCTGCTTCTTGAGTGTCATTGGGGCTATACTCATCCAGGCAAGTGGGAAGTATTCCACCACATTCCTGCCTTGTGCCTTGTAGATGGTAGACAGGGTTTGGGGAGTCAGGAGGTGAGTTACTTGCTGCGGTATTCCTAGCTTCTGACCTGTTCTTGTAGCATCTGCATTTATGTGGTGAGCCCAGTTGACTTTCTGATCAATGAAAACTCCTGGGATGTTGATAGTGCGGGATTCAGTGATGGTAACACCATTGAATGTCGAGGGGCGGTGGTTAGATAATTTCTTATTGCTAATGGCCATAGCCTGGCATTTGTATGACATGAATGGTACTTGCCAGTTGTCAGCCCAAGCCTGGATATTGTCCAGATCTTGTTCCATTTGGACCCGGACTGCTTCAGTGTCTGAGGAGTTGCAAATGATGCTGAGCATTGTGCAAACATCTATGAACATCCCCACTTCTGACCTTATTGAGGGAAGGTCATTGATGAAGCAGCTGAAGATGGTTGGGCCCAGGACATTACCGTGAGGAACTTCTGCAGAGGTGTCCTGGAGCTGAGTTGACTGACCTCCAGTAACAATGTGTCAGGTATGACTCTAAACACTGGAGAGTTTTCTCTCAATACCCATTGACTCCAGTTTTACTAGGGCTCCATTATGCCATAGTCAGCCAAATGCAGCCTCGATGTCAAGGGCTGTCACTCTCACTTCACCTCTGGAATTCAGCTCTCTTGTCCATGTTTGAACCAAGGCTGTATTGAGATCAGGAGCTGAGTGCCCCTGGCAGAACCCAAACTCTTTGTCACTGAGCAGGTGCTGCTTGATAACACTGTTGATGACACCTTCCATCACTTTTCCGATGATCAAGAGTAGTCTGATGGGCAGTAATTGGCTGGGTTGGATTTGTCCTGCATTTTATGTACAGAAAATGCTTGGGCAATTTTCCACATTATTGGCAGATGCCAGTGTTGTAACTGTACTGGAACAGCTTTGCTAGGCGAGCATCAAGTTCTGGAGCACAAGTCTTTAGTACTATTGCTATAATGTTGTCAGGGGCTGTAGCCTTTGCAGTATCTAGTGTCTCCCATCATTTTTTGATATCCAGTGGAGTGAGTTGAATTGGCTGAAGACTGGTATCTGTAATGCTGGGGACCACTGCAGGAGGCCGAGATGGATTGTTCGGCACTTCTGGCTGAAGATTGCTGTGAAAGCTTCAGCCTTATCTTTTTCACTGATGTGCTGGGCTCTTCCATCATTGAGGATGGGGATTTCTTTGGAGCCTCCTCCAGTGAATTGTTTAATCATCCACCACCATTCACGACTGGATGTGGCAGGACTGCAGAGCTTAGATCCAATCCGTTGGTTGTGGAATCGCTTAGCTCTGTCTATCACTTGCTGCTTTCGCTGTTTGGCGTGCAAGTAGTCCTGTTTGTTGTGTTCACCAGGTTGACACCTCATCTTCAGGTATGCCTGGTGCTTCTCCTGGCATGCCCTCCTGCACTCTCCGTTGAACCAGGGTTGATCCCCTGGCTT